TGATGGGCTATATATACCAATCCTGAGCCAATTCAAGGCTCAGAATTGGTATTTTATTCAACTAAAGCGAGCTGAGGCGACGAACACTTACGCTGTAGTATGACTTACTCCTCCAATCGTCGATCACGCGGAGTACTCCGCAGGCGTGAGCACGAAGGTCGACTGCATGGTTCTGAGTGTGGAAGTGACCGATTACACTTACACAATAGCACAATTCTAGTCACTGGAGACCATCAATACAATAACAATTGGATCTGACAATCCACAAAAATCAATTATTGTCATTGTCCAGCCACTCACAATCAATTACGGAGTACTAGTAACTGTTATACCGGTAGTTACAATGTTCATGCCAATTGATGTTTATCAGATATTTTCCTCTGCTCATGAATTTGTTTAATGTATAACGTTATACTAGTTTGAATCTACTCTAGAGTACTGTCCTGACTTACAATTCTGTGGAGCTTTATCAGAAGTAGTTCTTGTAGAGTCATCGCGAGTTCCACTCTATGTACCGGTAGTCATGGTGCCAACTAGAGGCTTCTAGTTCGGAGGTCGTCCGTCTCTAAGTCCCTCGTATCTTGACGCGGGGGCCTCATACATTCGGTCATTCTAGGGTACTGTTGGCTGCCAGGTAGCATGATGCTGTACATTGTCGACCTGTTAAGACATCATTATTCAACTTACTCTCGTCCTCAACCATGAAAGCCACCCTTGTCCTCGCGTCCGCCGTTTCGATGGCGTCAGCCGCCAAGCAGTCCATCCTCACATTGGGGAGCGAAGAGCGATCTATCCTCAAGAACGAGTTGGACGAGTGGAAGGCGCAGTTTCTCGACATTGCCCAGGCCATGGGGGCCCTTCCCACGCACACCGAGAGCCTCACCGACGTCGAATCGGACGAGCTCCAGCGCTTCTTGGACACCAAAATCCAAGTCGAAGTGGCGCGCCAGGCCAACCCCGAGGCCGAGTTCGACGTGAACAACCCGTTTGCGCTCCTCACCCACGCCGAGTTTCTCCAGATGGTGCAGGTCTCGTTCGACCAATCCAGCCTCGGCCATCTCAACGCCGTCGAAGACACGACGCCCGTCAACGTCACGGCCACCTCCGCGGACTGGACCACGTCTAAGTGCTTGTCGCCTGTGCGCAACCAAGGGTCATGCGGGTCGTGCTGGGCGTTTTCGACCATCGGCGCCGCCGAGACTGCCCACTGCCTCGCGTCGGGCCAGCTTCTCGACTTGTCCGAGCAGCAACTCGTGAGCTGCTCCAAGAACGGGGGGAGCATGGGGTGCAGCGGGGGCTGGCCCCAAGCCGCCATGGACTGGCTCAAAGACGGCGCGTGTCTCGAGTCCACGTACCCCTACACCGCCCAGACCGGATCGTGCAGCACTAGCTGCGCCAAGACCAAGCTCAGTTTTGGTCAGACCATCAAGTCTACAGGTGAAGACAAGCTCGCGAGTGCGCTGGACTCGCAGCCCGTGTCGGTTTTGGTCGAATCAGGCAACGCAGTGTGGCGCAACTACAAGAGCGGCGTGGTCACCCAGTGTCCTGGAGGCCGTTCCGACCACGCCGTCATTGCTGTGGGCTACGACGCCACGTCGTTCAAGATCAAGAACTCGTGGGGGACTTCTTGGGGGAACGGCGGGTACATGACCCTCAAGCGCGGCGTGGGCGGCAAAGGCATGTGCAATGTCGCCGAAGCCGTGGTCTACCCCGCCTTGGCCGGCGACGTCAAGCCCACGTCGCAGTCCCCCACGCCGTCGACACGCAAGCCGTTTCCGACCTCTCCCTCTTCTAGTACCCGCAAACCCTTTCCCAGCTCGTCCAATGCCCCTCCCACGACCAAGCCCCACCACACGTGCAAGCCCAAGGCCAAAAAGGGTCGTCATGGCAGCGTTTCCTCTTCGAGCAATTAGATACTATATGTAATAAGTGTGTATCATTACTTGCTTAGTGCTGCTTGTAGGTTGCATCAATTTCGGTGTCATTATTTTGGAGTAAAGACTTACCAGTAATCGTTTCGATTGTCTTCATATAGTCAAGATAGTCGTGCATGATGACGTTTGCATGCATCCATGCCATTCAGAAGTTATTATAAAGTTCACCATACTGTGAAACATCAGCACCGTAGATAAGTTCTGCGTTGTACTAGTACACTTTACTCTTGTCGTCCAACAAGATTGACTGGTCGACTGAACACTGACGTTCTGGCCATCAGATACTTCTAACGTTTGCACCGGTTCATTGACATGTCGATCTTGCATTTAATGTTCAAGTACGAGCATTCTCCGCCAACACTGGCGGTGCGAGTCCAGATCTCGCAGCTCCAACCTGGAATTGCGACGTTCTTGGTTTATGGGAGCTCGGTTTCCGAGTCGGTTTGGGTGTGAACGGGGACTCGGGGTTTTCGTGTCGTTGTTCGATGGGCTGGTGCTATAGGCTTGCCGGGGGTTACTTGTTGGGGATGGCCGCCAAGTTGGGGGTAGCTGATGCCTTCGGCAACATTGCACATTCCTTTGCCCCCTACCCCCGTTGCAAATAGATGTAGCACTTCTCCCCCCACGACGTTCCCCACGAGTTTTGATCTTGAAGTACTGCCCCGAAGATGACGAGCCAAAGCCCACTGCCATCACGGCGTGGTCAGAACGACCGCCGGGGCATTGGGTGACCACTCCGCTCTTATGAGGTTGGCCATTGAGGGTTACTTTGGAGCTGGTCTTCGCCAGACGTGGCCACCGTTTGGCCGATTACTAGGGGGACTTGTCGCATTTGTTATCGCACGTCCCCGTCTGACCGTCAACCCCAGCTGTGTACGGCCAAGTAGATTCCAAACACACACACCCTTTCTTTATCCAGTCGATGGCGGACGGGGGGAAGCCGCCGTTGCAGCCTTGACTGCCTCCGTTCGTTGAGCAACTCACGAACTACTGTTAATAAAATATATACATTATTTATGAAAATATAAATGATTGAATTCAATACTAGTATACTATAATTGACAGTGAATTCAATATACTATATACCGTATTAGATAAAATTAATTTCATCTAAAGGTCCTTTTAAACTCCCCTAGGACTATTTTAAGTAGGGTGTATATGCAGGAATGCCATAAAACCCCGGATTACAGCAACTTATGTCTCCCGTCTATGTTTTCTAGCCAGGCGTGCAAATGTGACCATCTTCATTTGGAACATACGAAGCTGACGTCCAAGTTCAGTGAAACCCCAGGATGATGGCGAATTGGCCATTATAGTGCCAAATGCAATGCAGCTATAGCCGTGGCCAAGTGTAGGGACGACCTAAACCAGTGCCAATCGTGCTGTTATAAACGTTTTGGAGCCTGCACCGCGAACTTCCACTCACACAAGATATTGCCTTGATTCTTGGTCAAGTCCCACGACTTGGTCTTGTACAGCCAGCTAGCAAGGACAGTACCTTAGAGCCTGGTACTGTATTACTCGTCGTGTGGAGCATCCGCCAGAGGGAGCATCTCCCTGGCGGATGCTCCACACCTCCAGTAGTACTAACCAACCACTACTACCACAGCCACACCCATCACCACAGCAATCATTACTGCTCATCCTACGACCACCACAGCCAGACCTAACACTGGGATTTACGGAAGGGCGATACCAGGACATTGTTGGCCCGTAAGTGGATGTGCACGTGGGATGCGGTGACATGAGTGACCTGGCCGTACGCGAAACAAGGAAGGTGCCGCTGAGGGAAGTGTTCAGGTTGAACTCGAACGAGGAGTGAGTGCGGTATATCAGAGCGCGGGGACGAAGGGTGCTATAGCGTTAAATTCTGACTAAGGGAGCAAATTCAACACTGGTTCACTACCACTACAGAGATGATTGCTCGCAGAGGGAATGAATTTCTGAGCCAATCACAACAAAAACTCGGTTTTGGTTACACCGAAACCACCACGGGCTAAGGAACGAAGGAACTGGGGTGAACCTGTTGAATGGTCACTAATAAGACGCCGACTCGGATAAGAGTAGCAGTACGTTATGCGTATGCGTGGTTCTGTCATGTATTCGTGGTTATTCCGGCTCCCGCCGGACGTCTATCAAAGCTGCTCAACTGCTTTCGCCCTCGACGCCTCGTCCGTCGAAACTGGTGGCAGCGGCAAAAACACGCTCGTTCAGTGAATATCCGTATTTGAATCTCTGAAAATTACTTCCAAAAGCTGTAAATATTTCATTTCAGTAACTTAAATGTGGAAAAATTGAAATTTTCGGTGAATAATTCTCTGAAAATTTTAGTTTTTCTACTTTTCTACAACCTGAATCTTATCTCAAAGTGCTTCCGAAAACTCTCTAACTACTTCGAAGTAATAGAGATTTTTCGGAAATCAAAACTATGCGAATCTCGGTTGAGATACAGTACTGTTCCGGTATGAGGGTTGTTACCTCAAAAATATCGCATTAGAGTACCTTATACTGGTGGTGACTCGGTGGCATCACCGGCACATCGGCGGTCCAGTATGTACTGTACAGAACACTCCTTCACGGAATGGACATACATAGGCTCGTGCTGGTAGTAGTCACTTACACTGTGTTAATTTATCCATATAAGACATACCTTGGACATAGCGATACGTTAGCCAAACGCCTAGAATAGGTGGCGGAACGACCGAGCATCGGGTTGTCACTCTTTACCGTTAGAGCAAGTACAGCTGGTTGGCCAGGACCTGGCGGTACGCGGTGATCGCATGCCGTACGCCCGACCGAGTGGTGACGGCGGTGTGCTACACAGACGAGTCCATTTCATCTAAGGGCAACACGGACGGTGGAGTTGCTCTTTTATACGGATAACCCTTAGATAACCCCGGAATTATTGCTTCCACTGGCAGGTTTTATAGGGGTTAGATTTATATTTGAAAGATCCAAACATAAAATTACCATTTTATTGAACTCAAGCGCAATTTTGACGTAGAACGTCGACGTGATGCGACGGCGGCGTCACAGTGAACTGTGCACATGTACGATACTGGTAACCCCTGTCGATGCTTAATTGGACCTCTGAACGCCACCGACTGTCACAGCCCTACGTCGAATGGCCATGTGTCCACCCTGCTGACGCCGTCGCCACTACCCTCAACGTCGCAGCGGCAACCAAGTCGCCCCGATTGTGAGGGCGATGACAGCGGCATCAGCAGGGTAAACGAATTAGTGAGCACCACGTAGATTGTTTTGTCAGAGTCCACGTCACAGTTGGCTCGAGCTTATCGATTATCACAGCATGCGTAATCTCATACCATGAGCTCAAGGGTTTGCCCTCTTTTTAGTGACGAGTGAGATAATTTGCGGCGACGAACTGCGGCATGCGCTTCGACATGATAGATTTCTACTGTAACGTTTGATTGAATGTACTGAGCAGTCGCTTCCGGTCCGCCCGAGTGTTTCATTTGGTGCCGCGCTCGTAGCAGCTACATGTATTCAGAGTGCGGCGGCCTGTGTGTGTGAATCGGAATAAATCTCATGGGTGGGGAAATTGAGATTTATCCCTGGGACTCCATGAAATCTCGCTTTTATCCGTACATTATCTGAATAAATCTCATTCCATGAATCCCACGGGAGAAGTTGCTATAACCCAGGAACTGGGGTGAACATGTCGAATAGTCACGAAAAAGACGCCGACTCGGATGCGAGTAGCGGTATCTTACATATATGCGTGGTTCTGTCATATATTCGTGGTTTTACCGGCTACCCAGGACGCCTATCAACGCTGCTCAACAACTTTCGCCCTCGACGTATTGTATACGTTGAAACTTGTGGAGCGGCAAAACACACGCTCGTTCGGTAAATATCCGTAACGTTATTGTGCTTTCTGGTTAAACTTGCCAATTGTGAGTCATTGTGAAAATCGCCAACAAATAGCCGCGATGATTTCATTGGTTAGAATTTCGAAGATTTGGGCAGAAAATGGACATCCAACTCAGTTTTCCACAAAGGGCAGTACGACGAGGTGTAGTTGCATGTTGCGGTAGCGCGGGCGTCCATTTGGTGTACTTGCGATGTTTGTGTGTACTGTACATAGGTGTGCATGTGTGCTGGGGATACGAAGAAACTCGCATACGAGGCCTACGCGCTCAAGTGTTAATGGGAAGATTGGATCGTTGTCCATTGACTCAGTTCAGGAAACTGCGTCATAATCGGGTGATTAGTAACGATTCTTTTGTGAGAGAAATCCCACTTTTTGTCATTGGGGTCATTTCGCGGACATTCGGATCGGGGTGATTTAAGAACCGCCTATGGAAATTTTGAGTAGAACACACAATATCTTAATCTGTGAAAAGTACCAAGGTACTTCCGAAAGTTGTGAATATCATATTTCCGGATCTTGAATTCTCCACCGAAAGTTTACTTTTTCCACTTTTGAGATGAGTCCTACAACCTGAATCTTATCTCAAAAGTGCTTCCGAAAACTCTCTAATGATATATTTCACATTCGTATTAGTATACGGTATGGTGTTACCCAAATGTCAAACTTGTTGGCGTACAGTTTGATTAATTGACTGTGATTAATTGAGTTTGGATTATCATTTTTAAGACATTCCTCGCGAGGGCCGACACTAGAACCACATGTTATGGCACCGCTTGTTTGGATTATCATTTTTAAGACATTACTCCGCGAGGGCCGACACTAGAACCACATGCGTACAGTTTGAGTGTGTAGAGACGGCTCGGAAGACTTGAAATGCAATTCTCAATCCATGCATTTAACTTAGGACACTAAGGGCCTTATGCACTGAAAGAGTGTGCATAAGTGCTTCAGGCTTGGCTTCTGATGTGTTGGCAGCATCTGATGTGATGGCAACATCATTGCTGAACCTGTACGGTACCGCAAGGTTAAGCTGGCGAGTGTAATGATGGCAGGGATTACAGTAACGTTACTGGTATGGGAGTATTACGTAGAACTCCGAGCTTTTACAATTTTGGTGTCCATACCGGTATGAGAATTAGTACACTCTGACCATCGCACCTCACACTAGGGGTTGAGTGCATCTGAGTTGTTAGCGATAGCTAACCACTGGCGATGCAGTGAACCCTGGGGATTTAGCATCGTATGTACTCTTGGGGAGTAGGAGCAAGTCCCGGGTTATAGGGCTACTTGCGAAAAAGTGTATCCGGATGGGATAATTCCCTCATTGAAACATTTCGGGATAACAGATAATGTCCGGATGTTCATGACATTTCGTGCAATTTTAAAATGTCCGATTCCTCTTCCATCACATTATTGTATCATTGCCAATTGAAATATATACTACTACGTATACATGTATAGTTTTAATACAACCGGTAGTATAATACTACGTCGTACTTCCTGAAGTACATAGGTATATTTTACTTCGAAGTAAATGAGATGGATTTATTACAGTTAACTGTAAAACAACTGTGAAACTGTTTTAATAATGAGGGAATCATTCCTAAGTTAGTGTAGTAAACTCAGTACCGGTATTACATTCCCCAGTAGATCACATGGTGAGCCAGGCTTCACGAGTCGACCTCCCCTTACCTGGTACTTGCAGTCGACCTTCGCATTTTGTGACTAAGTTACTCGTATATCAATTACGTTATGCTACCGTAGAGAAGATTACCCTTCATTTTGAGCACAGTGCGCACTAGCGTTGCGGCTAAATTGTAGGCTGCATAGTGTCTCGATGTTTCGTGGCGGTGTTAAGATGTACTTCACATTATTACCACCAGCATGAAATTCTATTTGGAAGATGTATGTATAGATGAGCCACTGATCGAAAGCGTATCGACAACGATTTCCATACAAACGTCAAGTACAAAGTGCTTTTACACGGGGCAGCTGTGCATGACATGGGTTCAACACAGGCGTACCAACGCTCCTACTACAAGGGTACATTGCCTTACAACGAACTGCCGTTATTATTGAATTCGCACGATGAAAGTGCTGTGCAGCTTGCTCGGGTTGTTGTCTGCAGTCGCTGCCAACACTGCGAGTCTGCCTGATGCCGACCACAGTGCACTGGAGCAGCAATTGACCAAGCCGAATGCACTCTATGGCCCGCTAGCGGAAGCCAACGGATTCACCCCTGAAGCCATCAACTCACACACAAACTTGGAACTATCCCATGAAACCTCCTTGCAAGGACAAACCGAGGCCGCTGAAACCCCAGTAGCCACGTTCAGCGAAGTCAACGCGCCGACTGACGAGGACGACTTGGATTGTGATGATGATGATGACAACAACAATGACAACGGCGATGACGACGACAACAACAACAATGACAACGGCGATGACGACGACAACAACAACAATGACAACGGCGATGACGACGACCCCTTTGATTGCGATGACGACGAAATCCCGACGCC